GCGTGAGGTCGCCGAGAAATGTTTATGCTTGGACCCTGTGCAGAATCCCTCCAATGTGCGCCAGGGTAAATTTAGAGCCTCTGCTGGCATCGCTGAGCCCTTGGTGGGCAAGCGACACAGTTACACAGGGCTCAATGGTGCCACATGACATGATCCTGAACGAAGTCACATGCATGGACCCATTTTGGGGACCTCTAGAATTTTCATTCATGGTTCCTTTTAGAAGGGGATAGACCCATTTGATAGCCATCAAAAGTAGTTCTCCCGACATGTTTGAATATCGGGTCACACGCAGCATACATCGAAGTCGCTGTGTTCTACTTGGCCACGAGACGAGTCATGGGAGCCCTGGCTGTAGGGCAAAGCTGCATCGGTTTTGCTGGCAGGGTCACTGGCAAACGCCCGGTCTTTGACTGTTCCCTATTTGCAACCTTTGGACGTCATCCACGTCTTCAGGAGGGAAGCCCCTCTCCCCCATTTTCTTCCTCGGCGATATGTGAAGCTCCCAGAACGCCATCTTTCGTGAAGGGTGAATCTGCAGTGGGTGTATCTTTCGCCGGCTTTTGCCAGATTTGCGTAAGGAATGTTTCGAGCCCCTGGAGGGGCACGGCAAGTACCTTTCCACCAACATAGAAAACTCTTTGGAGGAAACTGATCTTTCACATCCGCAGTCAGGTTCCATGTTCCTGGGGTACTTAACTTATACCCCAAACTGGGTGTGTCTTTTTGTTGATTTTTTTTACCCCCTTTTTGGCGGATTAAAAGGGAAACCACAATGAACACCATTTTGGGGGTCCCCCAAAACAAGACACCCGAAATGGGGCTTGCAATTGATGGTTGTTTGGGTATGGTAATCTGCAGGGCCACATGCCCTCGACCCTCTGGTGGCATACTTTTCCCTTTCCTTTTGGGTTTGCTTCCCATGGGGCGAGTTGATGTGGCAACCAGTTTGCTGGCCACGTCCCGCCGTTTGCTTCGGTGGGCTGCTTGGTGTCCGCGAATCCTACCAGGGTCACTCAGCTGGGTTAAGATCCGCTCTCGGATTGCCCCCGGCGCCGGTGTCGGAAGCGAGCCAGCGCTCACAAGTCTTTTTGGGGGGCTGGTGGCCTTAGGAAACATGGGCACTTCGGCTTCAGCTTTCAACCCCTCACTCCCCGAGTTCCTAAACATGACACTTTTGGTGAAGACAATATGAGTGGTAAAATACTTAAACAGTTTGGGCGTTTTTGCGGAAGATGGTTATGAACGGTGTGCTTTTGCTTTGGCTAGAAGGAGTCTTTGCATTCGAGGTACCCGGGTCCAGCTGGATTATCAACAGCGAGCCTTTGCTGCTTTGGGAAGTGAGACCCTCGCATCCCTCTCGCCAGGGGCAGGGGCAGCGCGAGTGTCCGGAGTCCGGAAGCGACCGGCGCCGGCGGCTCAGGCTCAGCTGGAGTTTTGCGCGCCCTAGCCGTAAGCCTGGTGTGACTTGGTTTCCTTAGATTTGAGAACTCCTTAAAACGGGTGGTTTGCTTTTGGTTTCTCTTTGAAATCATCGAAGAGGTCCATTTTGGGAAGCCCCCTCATCTGGGTGTTCGGGCCGTGTTAAAAACTGAGGCTTTTGTTGTTTTTTAGCGGATGCCATTTCAGTCGTTCAGCGGTACCATGGTTCTCTTTCTTGTTGGTTTCGCGACTACAAATGGGCAACCCCAGAAATGTTTGGTCTCTTTTGGACCAGGGTCAGTGGCAAACTGGGCGATGTTATCACTTCTTCCCTGCGGTTCTTCGGCTTTGGGCTGATGTAAAGCGAACCCATGAGGACCGGATTGCCCTGTCGAACCCATGGCAGGGGCCGCAAAACGTGTCGTAGCTGGGTGGTCCTTTTTGGAGGGCCTCCAGCGTTGCAAAACTTCTGCCTTGCCCTGGTTCGATACACACTTGACATGTTGCAGCGTTTTGTTGCTCCACAATCGCTCGGGCTTCGAGTAGAAATCAAGTTCGGCAGTTTCATGTTATTTTGATAAGAGTCATTACCGAAACGAGCACAACAAATGTGCCACACGAGCGCACATCGGTGCAACAAAGTGCAAACGAGCGCAAATTCCGAACATGTTACAGGGAATGGGTTCCTCACCGGCATATATGTTGATGCCCCGAGCGGTTTTTGTCGAAACATGCATTTATTTTAGACAAGTTGTTAGGAGCAGAAATTGTTTTTAGCAAAACATCTGTAAACATGGAGGCCACAGGATGTGTGCCACGGGGATTTTAGCTTTTTTCTAGGCGATTTCAATCGGGAACACCCTCCAAAAGGTAAACAAGGAGCACCTGCAAGCATATCAGACCGGCAAGAGACATGCTCGGTTTGGTTTGGTTCTGGACCACAGGCTGCTGCTGGGCCATCCAGCCAGAGCTTTGATCGGTGGCTTTTGTTTGTGCATCGCAGCGGGTTTCTGAGGACGTGCCGTTGTGCAGACTGGCATACCTGAGCGCCGAATCGTCTCACCATGAATTCTGGCTGAAATGTCCCTGTTCAGGCCTGCCAGCCTTCAAAACAGGTGGAGATGCAGATTACCTTGAATAGGGTCCTTGCCTGCTTTAGAGAATGGCAGTAGCGGTTAGGCCCCTGTGCCTTCGCTTTGCCTCGCCTTCGCAGCTTCCCGTCCCCGCTTCGCCTTGCACGGAATTCTGAAACTGCCGCCCAAGGTGCTTGAAAATCGTGCCCGGCTCCTTGCGCTGGTGCGTTTGTTGCGTGCTCACAAATTGGTCGGGAGTCTGTTGCGCAAGCCTCAATGCGGCCATGGTGAGTTGTAGGTGTCCTTCAGGTTTGGAACACTTGACAATACGCGCAGGTGTTCGTTTGGTTTTGATTCGCGCCGTCATGCTTTTACCAAAAGGACACCCAGGATAGGCGGCATTCGGATCAGTCAGCCGGTTGTCTCTATCGACTTGGGAGGGGCGCAGGGCACTCACAAAATGACCCGCAAACAGGGACACTCAATAAGGTTCAAATCATATTTTGCTCTAACGTATTCAAAATCGTTGGCGTGGTGGTACTGCAGGTTCACAGTCTCATTTGAGCACAGCCCCAGACTTTGAGTATCTTGTCAGCGTGAGTCGTGCCAGCCTTTCTCCAAATGTTTCTTGCGATAGAGCAGAACCCTCGTTTTCTAAAAAATGGGCGATGAAAAGGTACACCCATCGTGCTATGCGCATGTCTTGGCCTCGAGAAGGCCTCAAGGGGCAAGTGGATGACTTTCCCTCCCCCTGCGCTCGCTGGCAACATGCAACAATCCAAGATGTGCACTGCACAAAGCCATACCTCTAGGCCAGTGAGGGGCCACTGCTCTCCTGAACACGCTTTCCTCTGGTTTCCCGCGTGGAACGAGCTGCATATTCTTGTATTTGGGGCAGCTGCCGGGGGGTTCCCAGGCATTGCCCTTGTGCGGGCCATTTTGGGTACTTGACAGCCCTTGGAAGAAAGGTCCTGGAAGCCTTAAGTTCATTCAGATTCCTTATTTATCAGAACAGATTTGGAGAGCCGCATGGGGAGACTTGGGGATGACTTGCGCACAGGAATGAGAGTGCCAACAGTCCCGGTTGGCCGGTGCCGGCTTCTTTGTTTGCCCAAATTGGATGGGATCCTTTGCTGCTTCACGCGCTGGATGTATTGAGATTGGCCGCGCACCAAAAATCGCTTTGGCTCAGTTTTATAAACTGGGGGTCGCCAGCATTGGCACAAATTGGCCAGGTTGAAGTCCAAGAGCAGGATGGACAGGATCACAGGAATGCTGCCTCGAATCAGTTCTAGCCTGAGCTCCTAGCAAGACCGCCCACTCCCACGCAGTGCGAACATGGCCACAGCCAAATACGTGCGAAAGACCGCAAGGCAGGCTGTCAGGCCTCGACACGGGAGCCAAAGCTTAGCGTCTTCCACCACATTACGGGCCAAAGACGAGTTCGCTCGGAGTTTTGCTGCAGTCATGCCCAGCTCCGAGCAATGGCTTACTGTGCAGAGCGCCTTGGCTTGCTATGGGGGTTTCTCAAAATGGTGGACGCGGTGTTTAAAGGCAACCAACAAGCAAACCAAAAAGACACCATGCATCCATTTTCAGGGACCGCTATTTTGAGACCCCCGCCATGACAAAGATTCCTTTCCTGGGGGGTCAGCTTCCTACATCAGGTGGGTGAATCATTCGAGATTTGCCCATACTGCTTGGAGAGATTTGTCTTTTGTGGAGCTGACAACGTGCGGAGGCCCCTGATGTGAGTGGCACGTTGACCCAGAGAAGCGGTGTGCAGGGATTGTGTGCTCAGATGCTTTACCAACATTGTCCTTTTCCATGGGTTGCTTCAACCATTTCTTACTGTGAGGCCCAACCAACCGAATAGATGTGCCTTGAAATAGGCCCCCAACGGGGCATTTCCCTTTCCTTGGCGGCAACAGCGTGGTCCTCGCTTTGGCGCCCAGACAAGGGCTAGCATGGCGTCCCAAAGGATTCGGGACATGGAAGAGCCTGATGCAACTGGTGGGGGTATCTTGGAAACTCAGCTGCAATTGGTCCAAAAAGTGATGCTTAAGCTGGCTTCGGATGGAAATATGGGTGTCCCCTAAAATGGCTGGTGTGCTCCCCCCAAATAACTGGTTTCCTTTTGGTTTCCTTTTCAAGCTACCCCAACAAGGATGCCATCCAAAAAAAGCCACACCTTGCTGACAATTCTCCGACCTTCTGGAGGGGGGCTTTAGTAGCCACCTGGGGTCAGAGATACAGGTAGACGGTTCCTCCCAAGGGCGCGATCTCGCGAATCACTCTGGTTTGCGTCCTCGGACTCTGCCTTTCCGGATTAGGAGTCAAGTCATTCTAACATCTCCTGTCAGAACCCTATTGTCAAAAGATGCTAAGCTGGTTTGTGTCCAGTTCTGCCATGAGGTCATTTGGCAACAGGCTGAGTTTCTCTGCCCTGCCATTTGTTTGTTTCAATTTGATTTGTGTGTGGGCCCAGGAGGTTCTGAATGAAGTGTCAACTAGCCGCCTGGAATGAGATCTATCAGAGCGTGCCTCACCCAGTTTGGGTGGGGGGTCGCTCCTTTGGAGCTTGACGAGCAAAACCACTGCGAAAAGCGCATCAACTTTCCGGGTGGCACGTCTGGGACTTGCCTCCGAAACCTCTCCTCAAGTTGACAGAACCGAGACCGGAATGTCGGATGGGGCTTGAACGAGTCCGATCGCTCGCGGAGATGTCGGGGTTTCGTGCCAGATGACGTGTGGGACTTCGATGCGGAGAGCCAAAGCCGGGCGCCTCAAGTCGTGGCTTGGTGGTGTTGGTTGCGCTTCTCAATGTTCTTTGAGGTTGGGTTGATAATGTCGCCATTCACCAGCTTCTATTTTTCCAAGTTCGGCGGGTGTCTCCAGACTTGTGCTTTTGTTGGCTATGACTCAGCGCTTTTTTTAGGCGATCTAGAAGAGGAGCTGGTCTTCACCTTGGAAATCGGGTTGCTGCCCAAGGCACGCCCCTCCAATTGGATCCAATTCGTGCAGCCTAACAGAGGGCCCCCTCCATGTGGACACCAAATGGCGGCTTTCTCCGGGGCGACGCGGCGTTCTTCGGGGAAGCGGCGACGCGGCGAAGCCCAAAACGGAGCTGCCGCAAGGTTCGTTTCGCCGGGCCCAACGAAAGAGGCAGCTGCAACAGCAATTCAGTTGGGCCACATTTTTTCAGGCTGGTTTAGAGATAAGCCAAAGGACCACTATTCTTGGGGTGCCCTGTCTTGATACATACACATGTCCTTTTTTGGACCCTTTTGGGATTCAAAGGGAGAACAAGACGCTGGGGTCGCAAATAGGGACCTTTTTCTTTTGAATGACCCTCATCAAGTTTTTCAAGGAGGATGACTCCAGTGCTCAGCCTCAGTTGTCCCGTGGAAATCCTGCATGTGCCTGGGCAGGGTGGTGTTTGGCGGATGGTTGGTTTGAGCAGCCAGAAAGTGTGAAATTCAGTTGGTTTTGAACCGCCCAGCGTATGGGTGTATCGTTTGTGCGGCACCCCCAACATGGTGATGTTCCTTTTATTTGGTTTCCCTTTAAAACCGACACCCCAAGAAGGGTACTCTCAAGACACGCGTGTTCCTTCAGTCGCGGGTAATGGGTTCAGGTGGCCGCCTTCTACTAATTGGTTTTCTGGCGGCTTTCAGCAGAAGGAAAAACACCAACCCCCAACTGAGCGACACCACCTAGCAGTGGCAGCCAAAATGGCAGCGAACGGCGTCTCCATCCGCCGGAAAAGCGAAACTAAGATACCTAAGCGCAGCTTCCCATGCCGCCGGACTCCTTTGGGCTTCTTTTCAGTACAGATAGAGAAGCCTTCTCGTTGTCCAAGGCGCTGCTTTTTTTTTGCCTGCCGGAATCCAGAAGGATCTCCTCAAACTCGCTTGCCTGAGCATAGCGTGCACCCTGCCTGCATCGTCTCAGGCGTCGGCCTGGAGCTGGATCAGCTCCAGCAGCGCCTGGAGGGTCTGAAGCGACGGGAGGCGTGCGGCGTCTCCCGTCGGTCGCTTGAGGTCCACTGGCTTGAGGGCTTGGGTTTGTTGCGGTGGTTGGGATTGTTGGGCTGCTTCATGGTGCTTCTTGGCTGAGGTTTGACTTTGACCGTCAGAGTCCAAAGTCAGAGTCGTCGCCCGCAGGAACGCTGGTCCGCCAAAGGATGGCGGAACCTTGGTTTGCTTTCTTCGTGTGTACGGATGAAGAGCCAGGGGCCAGAGCAAGCGGAGCCATTGCAGCCCAATAGTGACTATTAATGACTCTGAGAGCCACTACGACCCTGTAGAGTCATCACCACCTCATGGCTCCCCTATGGCCCTGAAACAAACATGATAGGGCTAGAAATTCTGGCTAGCCTCCTCAGCCTGTCAGGGTTGGCTGCATCGGTTGGCTGTGAGCAGAAGGAGAGCGGACTGATTTTGGAGCTTGGTGATGGATCATGTTGGGTCGATGTGGGTTATCCATGTGAACCACACGCTCCGCTGAAGCCTTAGGACTGTAAAACGGCCCTGGCTTGCTGGCGAATCACCTGGATGTTGAGAGTTGAGAGTTCCCTTTTCCAGGCAGGAAACCACTTGCATTGTTGAGTTTGGGTCATTCCCTCATTCCCTACTGCGAACCGGCAAGATTAGTCGCTATGAGGCGCTGGAGCTTTGGGAAAAAAGGCAGAGGACCCTGTAGCTTCCAGTGGTCAGTTGGATTGCGAGGCCCGGTATGATTGGTTCGTGGTGTTGTGGTCGCATTTGCCGAATCAAAAAGGCCCGGGGCGGACATGCTGGATTCTCCAGATGCCTGGTGATTCAGCGATGCCCTTTTTCCATTGTTCCGGACGCGGTTTCGTGTGACATTCCATGGACATGCGCTGGGGTTGAAAGCGCATGCGCTCTCGCGTGCCCGTGGTTGACCTTCGAACGACAAACGCGGTCCTCAAAAAAAATACAGCCACTTATGGCCCATCAATATAAACCTTAGAGGACCTCCG